TGATCCATTGGATTTTCTCATTGTCTTACTTTATTTGGCAATGTGTTGTTGTTTTTTTTTCATCTTTATTTTTTGTTTATCTGAATTTAATTCTGTCTACTTCTTTCTTCTTGTGACTTTCCCAAGGCTTCACAGATTTTAATTTTTTAGCTAAGCCGTTTTCTTTTCAGTTTCTTCCGGTTCTTTCTTGTTAAGGAAACTTTGAAAAAAATTTCCCCTTTGTCTTTGAACTTATACAAGAATCGTAAAATCAAAACCCTTGTCTTTTTCTACCTATGGTATTTTATAATCTCTTTTACATTTCGATCCGATGTTTGATCCGGCTTTATTATTATTTATTTTATTTGAAAATCTTCTTTGTTTTATCTTTTATAAAATTTAATTTTTTTTTTCAACGATTCTGTTTCTAATTTTTGTTAAATTGTTATTGGTCGTTTTTATTTTTTTCGTTACGGTTCATCTTTAGAAAAAGAAACATGGCGTAAAATTCTCTCGTTTGCTTGTCAAAGTTGAACACTCGCGTTCCAGCAAAGAACGGGATTGTCAACAGCATTTTTTTTAGAAAATTACTGTTTTTTCTAAATTAGCGGTTTGTTCTAATTTGTTTTTATTTATATATATATATATATATATATATATATAGTGTTGGACTCACCACGTCGTATTCGACGTATGAGGGTCAAGCAGCTCAGTTCCTAGGAACTGACAGCCCAGACGCTAGCACATATTATTTGTTTATAGTGGTCAAAGCTTTGTGCAGAACCAACCACACGTCTTGAAGAACCGAATACAGAGATCTGGTACACCCCCACACACACACATATATATATATATATATATATATATATATATATATATATAGCATGGCCCGGCGTTGACCGGGATTGATTTAAAAATCGTACGACTTATACAGCAATCACTATCACTTGACTTAAAATATTTTTGCCCTTCCTTGCCTTTAAAGGAGTGCCATTTGCCGTGCTGATGTTGTTACATGCCTTACTTCTTGCCTATCTCACACTGCGAATTTTTTCTAAGCTCTATACTAAACATTAAATCTGTTAGGAAAATAGAACTAAACAAAATGAACACAAAACGATCAGCTTTAAAAAAAGGACTCGTAACTGGAAAAACCGAATGAAAAAAGAATGTTAACAACAAATACTTTTTTCACAACTACCCAGTTCTGCGGAATCAGAATCAACGCTGAGTTTAAGCAAGCGAATGAGCCAATTGGAGTAAAGTGCCATGCAGATTTAAATTTTTCCCACTTGTGACGAATGCAGCTATCTTTTTTTTTTTTGCATGCTAGCATGCTAGTTAACATTCGTGTCAGTCAGTTGTTGGCTCTCACGCTGGCCAATAGAATCTTCTTGCTCATTCGTTGCAGCCAGCTATAGACTCTCACTCTGGCCAGTAGAAAATGGCCGCAAACTACATGAAAGCTGCCGTAGATGCATGAAAAAATCGATTATTTCCACTATCGATGGGAGTTGGGAAATGCAAAGTCGGTCTAGTATAGGACTAGTGTATATGGAATGAATTCCAATAACCAACAAATACTATTCTTAAAAGAGTGCTCAATACAGAGTAGAGCAAATATAATTTATTCGAAAAATTATAACATAAATATTTTATAAAATCACTACAAAAATAGCCATTTTGTTTCAACACTTCTGGTGTCTTATCAAGTGATGGGGTTGAATGTAGAATAAAAGGTTCAAATCGACCAAACACCCCTCGATAGGGGAAACGATGTTACATACACTGCAATGGCCAATCAAAATACAAGTAAATGAGTATTCAAAAAACAAAGGAAAATTGTTTATAATAATTAATGCTTGAATGTCAGGGTTAGACTAAAATATAATTCGCTTGAGGATGAAATGGAACTAATGTCTTTAATTTAATTACAAAATTAAATTCGGGGCTTTAGCTTTTTTGAAACATTTTTTAGAACCAAAACATATTAGAACTGTGTAGCGAAAAAATAATATTTTAAATCATCATTAATTTATAATATATATATATATATATATATATATATATATATATATATATATATATATATATTATGAAATAGACAATTATTTTAATATATTTATGGTTTATACGTTATTTTTATAGACACAAATATTTAAGCAATTGCTCTGTTTATAATGAATAATATTAAGACCATCTACTGCCCTGAATGTCCGAAAAATTTAATAGAAAATATGTTGAGCACTATTTTGTAAAAATAAAAATATCTATAAGAACACCGGATTATATATATATATATATATATATATAGTTACAGAAAACTCAGTAGAGTTCCACCACGGAATATGTGAGCGAGCAGCGCTATGTTGAGTCTGATTTGCAATTTCTTTGTCACCGAGGCCCGTTAGAACTGTTGGTATAATGTTTGCTTGTCAACCTAACTGTGAGGGTTTCAATTTTCGGTAGTGGATACACACTGCTGATGAGTCCCCAATATAGGACGAAACAGCCGTTTTATCAGACTCGATGGATTGTATATATTATGTTGGTGAAGTTGAACGTCAAAACCGACATTATTTTTGCACCAACCTAATAAAAAATGCAATACATCTATGATATTATTTAATCTGAATTTTTTTAATTGCCGTTATATATAAGATATTTTAATATTCTCTTTAAAAAATTCGATGAATAATGCATATTTACAAGATTCGTTTTCAATTATAAAATTAATTCGAATAATTTATTATTTTTTTATACCTTTTAAAATTCTGTATTGATTTTACACTTTTAAACGATATTATTAAGTAAAAAATATATTTATTAATCATGAATTTAAAAATCTAATACAATTCATCAAATACCAATATTTTTTTAAAGAATTTAAATTTTTTATCTGTCTATATTTCTGGGTTGAGGTATTATGTACACTGTTTACATTATTCGGACTATTGTCCTTATCTTTGTCGCCATATTTATGATAGCAATATCAATGATAACAGCCAAAGGTTGCAATATGAGCACTGGTAAAATGGTTGCTGAAGACATTAGGTTTATAATACACAGAAATTCATACACAGATCTCCTCGAGGCACAGTGGATAAAGGCGTTGGTTAGATCCAGTGACAGAACCCAAAGAGTGCGAGTTCAATACCCGGTTAAGGCAGTGGAAAACTTTCAGAGAGGATAACTGATAACTGGCATCCATTAAAAAACATGGCACGTGGAACTAGAACAGTGAGCGAAATAAAGAGTTAAGTTCGACATTCCAATCACCTGAAGATGGCCGGTGCGTACAACGGCCGAAACGTTGTAATAAATATGACGACAAAGATGAGGACAATAGTCAGAATAATGTAAACAATTTAAATTTTTGTATGTCTATAATTTTGCCGATATTTATGAACACTGCTGTCCATATATGACATTATCTGAAAGTAAAAGCTGTAACTATGGTAAATTGAAAGCAGAAAATATCTAAAATTCAATAACACATTACATTACGGTGAATATTTTCCTAAACTTTTAAGACAACTGAGTACTTAAAAATTATATAAAAATACGCTCACGTTATATTCTTCAATTATTATTTACAAAGAAAGCTTCCCTCCGTAGAACAACATTAGATAACCATCCATCTGTCATCTAGCTGTCAACACCTTCAAAAGCTTAACTAACAACGACGTGTTAAAAAATGCATCTCTGCGGTATTTAAAAGTTTAATTCAAGAGAATTCTTAGGGAATTACATTGCGATTGGATATTTTAGCAATAAAATATACATATATATATATGTATATATATATGTGTGTGTGTGTGTGTGCGTTTGTATTTTTGTGTGTGTGTTTATAACTTGTGTCTATATATTCAAGAGTAAAAATAAAATTCTCCATTTGCTCGAACAGAGAGGTATCTTCAAAATATAATTGACTAAATGTGATATATATAAAAACATGTACATTGATATATATATATATATATATGTGTGTGTGTGTGTGTGTGTGTGTGTGTGTGTGTGTGTAGAGAGAGAGGGAGAGAGAGAGTAAATAGATAGATAATGAATGAATAGATAGATAGATAGATAGATCACATTCAAGCAGATATATCACATTGAGACACATCATGAACAGACTGTAGTAGATAGATAATTAATGTGCTTCAACTAATATATATATATATGTATGTGTGTGTATGCTTTTACGTGTGTGTGTGTGTGTGTGTTTGTTCGCGCGCGCGCTAATGTATCTTCCTGACTGGAAGTGTGTGTATATATTTTTCTAAATAATTAGATGTGTGTCACTCGCCTACGTTTTGAATACAAGGCCTAAGCCTAATCTGAAGCCTGAGAATTCGGTTTGTGACCTTTTCGCCGGACACTTTCGCAGATGTATCGCCTAACCCCGTACATGACCAGACTATAATAGACAAAACAATTTCTTTTACAGCGGACACATTTTTGCATAAATATTAATGATAATTACAAATAGAGAAAACAATATCATAAAAATGTGAATGAAATTTGCGCAGGGGAGAATATGTGTGAAAGAGAGAGAGGTGGGCGAGATACGGAAATACAAAGAATGAGGAAAGGAGGGCAAGGAAAGGAGGAGAGTAAGGAAAATGGAGAATAAAATATGGACGAAGAGCAGAGATGAGGGTAAAGCAAGAAGTTGTTCAATGAAAATGCGAGAGGAAGAAGGAATGGAGAACAAGGAAATTAGAGGAAGAAAGGCAGAAGAGTACGAGAAATAAGAAAGAAAGAAAGAAAGAAAGAAAGAAAGAATGAATGAATGAAAGAAAGGAAAAATGAACGAAAGAATGAAAGAAAAAGTAAAGAATGAAAGAAAGAATGAAAGAAAGAAAGAATGAAAGAAAGAACGAAAGAAAGAATTAAAGAAAAATAAATAAATAAATAAATAAATAAATAAATAAAGAAAGAAAGAAAGAGCAAAGCGATGACATTAAAGCAAGGAAGTGTTCAGGGAATATGTCAACGAAAGAATGTAAGAAAGAAAGAAATTAACGATAGAAAAAAGAATGAATGAAAGAAAGAAAGAAGGAAGGAAATAAAGAAAGAAAGAATGGAAGAAAGAAAGTAAAAAGAAAGAAAAAAGAAAGAAATAAAAAAGAAAGAAATAGACTAAAGAAAATAAGAATGAAAGAAAGTAACGAAAGAAAGTAAAGAAAGAAAGAACGTAAAAAAGAAATAAAAAAACTAAAGAAAGAAAATAAAAAGAAAATAACGAAAGGAAAGAAAGAATAAAGTAAAAAAGAAATTAAAAGAAAGAAAGAAAGAAATAAAGCAAGAAAGAAACTAAAGAAAGGAGAGAAGGAGTGTAAAGAAAAGAAGAGGAGTAAAGAAAGCACAAAAGGCAAAGAACAGGCAGAAGTAAAATAGGAGAGACAAGTAAGAAAGAGTATAAAGAAAGAAGGAGAGTAAGGAAAGGAGGAGAGTTAGGAAAGACGAAGAGTAAGGAAAATAGGAGAGCAAGGAATGTCTGAGAGTAATGAAAGTAGGAGAGCAAGAAAAGGAGGAGAGCAAGAAAGGACGGGGAGTAAGGAGAGAGCAAGGAAAGGAGGAGAGCAAGGAAAGACATGGAGTAAGGAAAGAAAAAGAACAAAGAAAGACGGGGAGTAAGGAAAAGAGGGGAGTAAAGAAAGATAGAGAATAAGGAAATAAGAAGAGCAAGGAAAAGAGGAGAGCAAGGAAATATGGGGAGTAAGGAAATATGGGGAGTAAGGAAAGGAGGAGAGCAAGGATTGACGGAGAGTAAAGAAAGGAGGAGAGCAAGGAAAAACGGAGAGCAAGGAAAAACGGAGAGCAAGGAAAGACGGGGAGTAAGGAAAGGAGGAGAGCAAGGAATGACGGAGAGTAAAGAAAGGAGGAGAGCAAGGAAAGACGGGGAGTAAGGAAAGGAGGAGAACAAAGACAAACGGAGAGTAAGGAAAGGAGGAGAGTAAGGATAGGAGGTGAGTAAGGGAACGTGGACTGAGTAGATTAGGAGACCAATGATGAAAGAAGCGAAAAGAAAGACGATTAGTGACGCATAAGGAAAGCTTGGAAAAAGGAGCGCAAGGATAGAAGGAAAGTAAAGAAAGGAGAGTAAGGAAAGGAGAGTAAGAAAAGGAGAGTAAGGAAAGAGCGGAAGGAAAAGAATAAAATCAATGCAAGAAATCTGCATTTGAAAAAAAAAGTAATATTTCCAGAATTTTTGTCGAGAGAAAAATTGGAAACTGGTGGTTTTGTGAGAGATAAGATTCGAGAAATAGATATGGATATTGATTTTCACTTTCAAGCCTCCCTCCCCAATCCTTGGCCTGGGTGAAAAGAAAACTTGAATGGACAGTAATCATGAAACAGAGATTTTATTTTTAAAAAAAAAAGACTCGGCAAGTAACGTCAGTGGGTCAAAGAGTTAAAAATGTTTTACTGCATCTCGAATGGAAAAGAAATAAAATTTATAACAAAAGATTGTTTTAAATATCAAAAACAACAAATTAGGTCGCATCAAAGTATTTTCGTTTTATAAAAGCTTATTTAAAATACACATCTAAAGACAATCGTCGACTTCATTAAATTATTATTATTATTATTATTATTATTATTATTATACATTGGTGTGTATCAAATGATTTTTTTTATTTTATACAGACCTTTATTCCAAAGCTAATTTCACATACGAGATCTGATCAAAAAATATCAGGACTGTTGCTATGCTAACGAAGCTGAAGTACGCAGAGTGAAATCCGCTTGGCACGGATTGATTTTGAACTCTGTCGTGCATACACACGAAGTAATAACGTTCTGGCTTCAATTATTTATAACAGTGCTTGGAAGGGAAGTGTGTAGCGTGTGGTCATCTCAACACGCCACAGAGATTCCATCAGTGACCATGGATCGTGCAGCAGTTTTTGGCCAAAATCTAAATTCTCCAGGCCCTTACGACTTTTTCATCTTCAAAACCAAATCCCACATAGAAGGGGCAAAAATTACAAGACGTCGAGGAAATCTAAATAAATGCGACTAGGCAGCAGCTAGCTATTCCAAAATAGGTGTTCAGGCAATGTTTCCATCAATGGAAACAACTCTGGATAAAGTGTGTAGTTTCGGAACGGGAACTATTTCGAAGGAGATTAAATGCCGAATTGATATGTGTTGTAGTTTTTTTTTATAGCACCGAATCCGTTATTTTTTTATCAAACCCGTACACGTCTAAAGACAATCGATGACTTTAGATGATAATCTATCACAATCTGTGACTATTATTATTATTATTATTATTATTATTATTATTATTATTATCATCATATGGGTGTATCAAAAGTATTTTCGTTTTTTACACACCTTTACTTCAAAGCCTATATCATGTATACATATAAAGACTAACAATGATTTTACAATGTTATTAACATTATTCTTATTTATTCGTAATGGTAATATTAACCGCTTCCTTATAAGGAAGTATTGGGCATTCATTGTCTGGCAGGGATCAAAGTGTAGTTTCTGCCTGCATTTTATCTGTGATTTCCTCGGATAGAACACAACAAATAAATGATGGATGCCTGATCCCGGAGATTCCTATCCTACGTCAGCACCTCCTATATCTACCTGCTTGGGTTACCCGTTTTAAACCGGCCTTACAAATACAAAGTTTAATATCACCCTTCTTTTCTCTCTTCGGATAGAACTCAACAAGTAAATGGGGTTTACCTGGTCCCGGTGATTCCAAATCCTGTGTCAGCACCTCCATCATTGCCCCAAAGAGGGAGTATCTGTGGAATATCCGTACCGGCGCAAACTTGTTTGCGGAGATCGGGTAATCTTTGGCCTTTACGACCACAATTATTCAAACAACACGAAAACAGACAGAAAATATATTCAATCATAAAAGAAAGTTGTAAATACAAACGATATTTACATTTAGTAGATTCTATAGAAAACCAAAACAGAACACAAGCACCAATTGTTGCAGCAAAAGTTATGAAAAAGAAAGCCAAGGATAAAGCTCTTGAAAAGATGACACAAAGACTGGTAAACCTCTGCATGGCTAATATCCATAAGGTTCTAATAAAGCAGATGTTGATAAAGTTAACACTCATCGAAGGTTACTGGAATAAAGGCTGAAACGGAAGGCTTTATTCTTGCAGCAGAAGACCAGAGTCTTTTCAGGAGGAACTTTTAGGCAAATATCATACATAAAGTGGGGTTCCAAAATGCCGATTCCGTGACAAATACCAAGAAACCATTGACCATTTAATCTCAGGATGTCCTTGCAACAAATGAATATAAAAATCGTCACGATAGAGTTGGGGGCAATATTTACACTGGACAATGTGTAAACATTTTGGAATACAATGGTATGAACATCACCCATCACATTTTTGGAATACAATGGCATGAACATCACCCATCACATTTTTGGAATACAATGGTATGAACATCACCCATCACATTTTTGGAATACAATGGTATGAACATCACCCATCATATTTTTGGAATACAATGGTATGAACATCACCCATCACATTTTTGGAATTCACTGGTATGAACATCACCCAGCACATTTTTGGAATACAATGGTATGAACATCACCCATCACATTTTTGGAATACAATGGTATGAACATCACCCATCACATTTTTGGAATACACTGGTATGAACATCACCCAGCACCAGTTACAGGAATAGAAGACATTACAATTCTATGGGAGTACACCATCTTTACAGACAGGAAGATTGAAGCAAATCCGTCAGACATAATTGTCAAATACCGAAGTGAAAAAAAAAGTTGCTTAATAATTGATATGGCTTGACCAGCGGATTCTAACATAGCAGCCAAAAGAATTTGAAAAACTATTGCAGTATACTGAATGTAAAACCCAACATGTCAGAGTTGACCAATATCTGCACTGGAAAATCTGCAACTTCTACGAAAAGGAAAATGCAAGAAATTGGCATGAACACCACCCAAACACGGCTACTGCACTGGTTGAGACCAGTAACAATTTTATGGGACTTTACAAGACACACAGACAGAACAATCAAAGCTAATAACCCAGACATCGTGATCAAAGACCACAAAAACAGAATTTGATTACTTATTGACATGGATGTCATTGCAGATTGCAATTTATCTTTGAAGATGTTCAAAAATCTATCAAAATACAAGGACCTTGAAATCTAAATCTCAAAAATGTGGCACATGAGGACATCAGTAATGCCGGTTGGAGTTTGAGCACTCGGATTGATTAAAAAAGGTTCCTATTAAGTCATTGAAGGAATCCCTGGTATCCCGCGTCTTAAAAAATTATAAAAAATTGTACTCTTAAGTACAGATCACACATTTTTCCTTTTTTCTCTTTAATTAATTAATAATAATAATAATAATAATAGGAGGAAAGTACCGTCTTTCTTTTTCTCTCCTTACTTATTATGTACTAGCAGCATGGTCCGGCGTTGCCCGGGCTTGATTAAAAAAATCGTACGACTCATACAGCAATCGCTATCACTTGACTTAAAATATTTTTGCCCTTCCTTGCCTTTAAAGGAGTTCCCTTTGCCGTGCTGATGTTTCTACATGCCTTACTTCTTGCCTATCTCACACTACGAGTTTTTTTCTAAGCTCTATACTAAACATTAAATCTGTTACGAAAAAAGAACTAAACAAAATGAACACAAAACGATCAGCTTTAAAAAAAAAAAAAATGAACTCGTAACTGGAAAAACCGAATGAAAAAAAATGTTAACAAAAAATACTTTTTCACACCCAACCCAGTTCTGCGAAATCAGAATCAACGTTGAGTTTAAGCAAGCGAATGAGCCAATTGGAGTAAAGTGCTATGCAGATTTAAATTATTCCTACTTGTGACGAATGCAGCTGTCGATTTTTTTTTTGCACGCTAGTTATCATTCATGTCAGTCAGCTGTTGACTCTCACCCTGACCAATAGAATCTTCCTGCCTATTCGTGGCAGCCAGCTATTGGCTCTCACTCTGGCCAGTACAAAATGGCCGCAAACTACATGAAAACTGCCGTAGACCATGAAATAATCGATTATTTCCACTATCGATGAGAGTTGGGAAATGCAAAATCGGTCTAGTATGGCCTTTCCGCTAACTTGGAGCATGTGCATGTAAATTTTTATGCAAATTGCGGCCGTGCATTCGTTACACACAAACACATCCTGCCTTTTATAGAGATATATGGGACTTTAAAATACATACAGACCAGACCAATCGAAGCTAATCGGCCAGACATCGTGATCAAAGACCCCCAAAACAGAATATATAGTTGGAGCCCTCGGATTGATTGGAAAAGGCTCCGATAGAAGCTTGAAAGGGATTCCTGGTAGCCTATGCCTTAAAAAAATTATAAAAAATTGTACTCGTAAGTACAGCTCACACATTACGAAGAACATTATCTATGTAAAATACGTGTTACCTTGAGTTAATAATAATAAGAAGAAGAAGAAGTAAAAAAAAAGTGCCTCCTTATTGATATTGCAGTCCCTGCAGACTGCAATGTATCTTTGAAGATATTCAAAAAGTTGTCAAAATACAAGGACCTTGAAATAGAAATCTCAAAAATGTGGCATATGGGAACATATAACAATCCCTGTTGTAGTTGGAGCCCTAGGATTGGTTGGAAAAGATTGCAGTAGACTAATTGAAGGGATTCCTGGAAGTCCATGCCTCAAGGAGATACAAAAAATTGGTCTGACAAGTACAGCCCACACATTACGAAGGGCTTTATCTATGTAATATTTTTTTTTGTCAGTGGAAAGTGTCATGATGCCATTTCTAAACTTAGGTCCCTGGGCGGGACCCGGAAAGAAATGTGTAAATGCCAGTACTGAAATGAAATAATAATAATAATAATATCTATGTAAAATAATTTTTTTTGTTTGTTTTTTTTTTTGTCAGTGGAAAGTGTCATGATGCCATTTCTAACCTGAGTTCTCTAAGCGGAACCTGGAAAGTAATATGTAAACGCCACAAATCAAATGAAATAATAATAATAATAATAATAATATCCGATCCGGTTACAGACATAGCACCGATAACAATTTTAAGAAAATTTAAAATTTCTAATTGACATGGCAGTCCATGAAGATTGTCTTGCATCGTTGAAGATCTTCAAGAAACTATCAAAATGCAATGGTCTTGAAGTTGAAATCTAAAAAACGTGGTGTATGAAGGTTTGGACGCCAAGAAATCTTGGAATGTGTGTTTCTGCCTCTTTTTTAGCAACGGAATGACTTTTGGTCTAAAAAAAAAGTATTAACATACTTAAAAAGATTGTAGTCTATGAGTGTGAGATCTGTGGAATATGGTGGATGCGACAAAGTCTTAGTTCACAAGTCTTTGAGCTTCCACTGTGTCATCCTGTCAACATGTGACTGAGCATTGTCATCTAGCATTGTCCTGTCAACATGTGACTGGGCATTGTTTAGGTTCATCACTGTTTAGGTTCCCGAAAATAAGATTCAGAAGAAGGTTCCTGAAAGAAGGCAGGGTTTAGGTTCGAAAGTAAGGCACTGATTAAAAGGCACTGGTTAGGTTCCAGAAAGTAAGGCACTGCTTAGGTTCCAGAAAGTAAGGCACTGTTTAGGTTCTTAAATAAATGTGCACTTTTAGGTTCATCCTGGTTGTTACTGGCAATTCCAAACTGTTTAAAGTAAGGTTTGGGTTCCAGAAAGTGAGGCACTGGTTGGGTTCCAGAAAGTAAGGCACTGTTTAGGTTCCTGAAAGTAAGGCACTGCTTAGGTTCCATTCCCTGGAAAGAAAAGGCACTGGTTTAGTAAAAGGCACTGTTTAGGTTCCTGAAAGTAAGGCACTGTTTAGGTTCCTGAAAGTAAGGCAGGGTTTAGGTTCCAGAAAGTAGGTTCCAAAAGTAAGGCACTGGTTGGGTTCCAGAAAGTAAGGCACTGGTTAGGTTCACTACTGTTAGGTTCCAGAGTTGAAGTAAGGCACTGTTTAGGTTCCTGGGTTCCAGAAAGTAAGGCACTGAAAGTAAAGGCAGGCACTGTTTAGGTTCCTGAAAGTAAGACACAGGGTTTGGGTTCCTGAAAGTAAGGCACTGTTTAGGTTCCAGAAAGTAAGGCACTGGTTAGGTTCCAGAAAGTAAGGCACTGGTTAGGTTCCAGAAAGTAAGGCACTGCTTAGGTTCCAGAAAGTAAGGCACTGTTTAGGTTCCAGAAAGTAAGGCACTGGTTGGGTTCCAGAAAAAGGCACTGTTTAGGTTCCTGTTTAGGTTCCTGAAAGTAAGGCAGGGGGTTCCAGGTAAGGTTTAGGTTCCAGGGTTCCAGAAGGCACTGGTTAGGTTCCAGAAAGTAAGGCACTGCTTAGGTTCCAGAAAGTAAGGCACTGTTTAGGTTCCTGAAAGTAAGGCAGGGTTTAGGTTCCAGAAAGTAAGGCACTGGTTAGGTTCCAGAAAGTAAGGCACTGGTTAGGTTCCAGAAAGTAAGGCACTGCTTAGATTCCAGAAAGTAAGGCACTGTTTAGGTTCCTGAAAGTAAGGCAGGGTTTAGGTTCCAGAAAGTAAGAAAAAGTAAGGCACTGGTTCCAGAAAGTAAGGCACTGTTTAGGTTCCTGAAAGTAAGTTCCAGAAAGTAAGGCAGAAAGTAAGGCACTGTTAGGTTCCAGGTGTTTAGGTTCCAGAAAGGGCACTGTTTAGGTTCCAGAAAGTAAGGGTTTAGGGTTCCAGGCACTGTTAGGTTCCAGAAAGTAAGGCACTGGTTGGGTTCCAGAAAGTAAGGTTCCAGAATTGTTTAGGGTTCCTGAAAGTAAGGCAGGGTTTAGGTTCCAGAAAGTGAGCACTGTTTAGGTTCCTGAAAGTAAGGCACTGCTTCGTTTAAAGGCACTTCTTCCAGAAAGTAAGGCAGGTTTAAGTTCCAGAAAGTAAGGCACTGTTTAGGTTCTAGAAAGTAAGGCACTGTTTAGGTTCTAGAAAGTAAGGCTCTGGTTAGGTTCCAGAAAGTAAGGCACTGGTTAGGTTCCAGAAAGTAAGGCACTGGTTAGATTACAGAAAGTAATTCCACCAGACAGTCATTATAAACTTCTCTTGATGTCAGTTCTCTTTCGGCAAGTGTTTGGGTCCTTTTGCATAATCAAGCCACTGAGCCGATCAATTACGATTGTCATAAACACTCCATTTCTCATCACAAGTCAATATTTGATCAGTGCCATACTGTCAAATTACAAGTGGATCCTGCAAACCAGGCGCTGTTAATTTCGGCAGAAGTTTTTTGATTGCATTATGAGTAAGCTTAAATTTGTACAACAAAAAGTAAACATCTCTTTATTTCTTGTTCAAGATGAGAGGGTATATAATGTTTTAAGTTAAATTAAAAGGCATTTCACGTGAAACTAGAACACTCTACCCCCGTGGACTAAATAATGGGTTCGATTCGAAATTCCATCTTATATCCCCTGAAGAAGACCGGAGGGAATAATGATCGAAACGTCGTGAATATGACGATAAAAATGAGGACCACTGTCTGAACAATGTAAATAGTGTAAATAGATACAATACCTCATCACAGAAACATAGAGAAATGTTAATGGTAATATTTACCGTTTCCCTATAAGGAAACATTCGGCATTCATTGACCAAGCAGCCAGAACTGCTTTCCGGTGAAAATTTTAAAATCTTTCACTTCAAATATGTTTTAATGAAATTACATCTCTTGAGTTCACTGGCTGTTGTCCTTCTTTCTCGTATTGATAAGGGCTTTCCTTGTTAACCTAAAATGTTTGGGGAGCAACGTCATGACGAAGCTATCGAACTAATCGATTATGATTGTCATAAAGGATCCATCTCTCTATCACAAGTCAATATTGACTTTCACTGATTATAAGTTTTGCAAAAAAAAAAGGTAAATATCTCTTTTTTTCTTGTTGAAGATGAGGAAGGTATATAATATTTTAAGTTAAATTAAAAGGCATGGCACTTTGAACAAGAAAAATCGACGTACATGGACTAAATAAAGGGTTCAGTTCAAAATTCAAACGTATATGACTTGCAGAAGGCCGGAGAGGTCAATGGCTGAAACATCGTGAGTATAAAAATAAAGATGAGGACAACAGTCTGAACAATGTAAATAGTTACAATACCTCATCTCAGAAATATAGACTGTGAATATGGCAATAAAGATGAGGATAACAGTCCAAATAATGTAAATAGTGTAAATAGTTACAATACCTCATCTCAGAAATAGAGATATCCTGAAGAAAGTCGGAACATACAACGGCCGAAACATCATGAATATGACAATAAAGACAACAGTCTGAACAATGTAAATACTTACAATTGATTGAGATGTTAATGGTAATATTTACCGTTTCCCTATAAGGAAACATTCGGCATTCATTGACGAAGCAGCCAGCACAACTTTCGGGTGAAATTTTTAAAATCTTTCACTTGTTTCCCCGAGTTCACTGGCTGTCCTCCTTCTTTCTCTATTGGTAAGGGCTTTCCTTGCTAAACTAAAATGTTTGGGGAGCAGTATCATGACGAAGCCATTGAGCTGATCAATTATGATGGTCATAAAGGATCCATCTCTCATCACAAGTCAATATTCGATCAAAAAATGAATCATTCCAATTTCGCAAAATCGAACACACTTCACAACGTCGAACTCTTTGATTTTCACTGAGTTCAGGGAGAAGCCATTTATTGAGTTTCTTTCTTTTGCAAATTTTCTTGAGCGGGGTCTGATATTGTTGCAATGCGGACATCCATTATCTGAGACATTTTTCAGACACTTTGACGTGGGTTTTGGTCGGTGAGTGTCTCCAGATATTGATTGTCAATGGCAGATGAACATTCTCCACCTCGTTGACCTTCAACATTCATATCCCCGCTGCGGAACTCCAGAAACCAGTGCTCTACTGTTTGATCAAAAATGGATATTTACCCCCAATTCCGTTAAAGTTGGCAGCAGTTTGAGAAGTTTTCTGACCAAAGGTTGAAGACATGCAAAATATAAAGGCACCTCTACATCTTTCATGTATATAATGTTGTTAAATTCTGAAAGATATTGACATAAAATTACCAAGAAGAGACTTTAATCATTAATGGAGAAAGACTGTACGCTCATCATAGTAGTAGTGATGGTGTTAAACCTCCATTATTATTATTATTATTATTAAGTAAAGAGAGTAAAAGAGAAAGACTGTACGCTCATCGTTGTAGTAGCGAAGGTGTTAGACCTGCCATAATAATAATAATTATTATTATTATTTTCTTTGATTTCTGGCGTTTACACATTTCTTTCCGGGTCCCGCCCAGGGACCTAAGGTTAGAATTGGCATCATGACACTTTCCATTGACAAAAAACAAAAAATATATTACACAGATAAAGCCCTTCGTAAAGTGTGGGCTGTACTTGTCAGAACAATTTTTTGTATCTCCTTGAGGCATGGACTTCCAGGAATCCCTTCAATTAGTCTACTGCAATCTTTTCCAACCAATTCTAGGGCTCCAACTACAACAGGGATTGTTATATGTTCCCATATGCCACATTTTTGAGATTTCTATTTCAAGGTCCTTGTATTTTGACAGTTTTTTTCAATATCTTCAAAGATACATTGCAGTCTGCAGGGACTGCAATATCAATAAGGAGGCACTTTTATTATTATTATTATTATTATTATGTAAAGAGTAGTGGTGATGATGTTAGATCTACCATTATTATTATTATTATTATCATCATCATCATTATTAGATAGATAGATAGACATTGACATAAAATTACCAAGAAGACACTTTAATCATTAATGGAGAAAAACTGTACTCTCATCATAGTAGTAGTGATGGTGTTAGACCTCCATTATTATTATTATTATTATTAAGTAAAGAGAAGAAAAGAGAAAGACTGTACTCATCTGAGTAGAGGTGATGGTGTTAGACCTGCTATTATTATTATTATTATTATTATTAAGTAAAGGGAGGAAAGGAGAAAGACTGTACTCCCATCGTAGTAGTGGTGATTGTGTTAGACCTGCCATTATTATTATTATTATTATTATTATTATTATTATTATTATTATTATTACCATCATTATTAAGTAAACAGAGGAAAGAAGGAAATACTGTACACTCATCATCGTATTAGTGATGGCATTAGACGAGCCATTTATTATTATTATTAAAAAAGAAAAGAAGGGACAAAGACTGTTCCCTCAACCAAATAAATACACTATAGATAGATAGATAGATAGATATAAATAGACTTCGATACTTTAAACGCTAAAGATATTGATGGTGCATTTGATGGGGAGACAGAAAGATAAAAGAATTGCCGTAATTGGGCGGGAAATCGACATACAATGTCTCGCGAGATCCTCTTTATCCGTCGAGTCCAGCTGCTTGGTTTGAGTTGATTCGCGCTGCAGTTCTTGGGAATTTATCTCGAAATGAGGTGATTCCATCTGAGTCAGACATGCGCAGTCCAGATAAACGGACACTGGGCTGACGTTGAAGTGTCGGTCGATGCGAAGATATAAGGGGAGAGTTGAACATCTGGATATGGTGACAGCAAACCACCGCGCGCGGTGAACGACTGAATCGGGTGTTATTGTTACCGGGAGTGAAGGAATGTGGCATTTGTTTAACCGGGGTCAACGTTGATAAGGACATGCGGGAAACTGATCTTGGACAAGAACGAGATAAAGAAGTCAAGAAGAAACGGCAGAAAACGAAGGAGGTGCGAGGAAAGAAGAAGAAGAAGAAGAAGAAGAAGAAGAAGAAGAAGAAGAAGAAGAAGAAAGAGATGGAAGAGGAAAAAGAAAACATCATTGGCATTGGATGATGATGATGATGATGGCGGTGGTGGTGAAATAAGAAGAAAGAAGATGTGATGGAAAATGAAAAAGATGGCGATGAAAATTGTAGATAAAGAAAGATGAGCCAATGAAAGAGGAGAGGAGGACTTAAGAGAAATTGATGAAAGCAGAAGAGAAAATGATGTCACTGATGACGTAAGATTTTGAAGATGATGATGATGATGATGATGATGATGATGATGAAACGGAAGTAAAAGAAAAAGAGAAAATGAAAGAAAGAGGAGACGATGGAAGAAAGAGAAATGAAAATGGAAGCGAAGAAGAAGAAGAAGAAGAAAAAGAAGAAGAAGAAAAAATAAAAGAAGAAAATGAAGAAGAAGACGAAAAAAAGGTAAAAAGAAGACTCGAAAAAGAAATCACAAAGAAAAAGAAGTAAAAGAAGAATACGAAGAAGAAAAAAAACAACAACAACAACAAGACGAAGAAGAAGAAGACGAAGAAGAAGAAAAAGAAGACGAAGAAGAAGAAGAAGAGAGATGTGGGAGAAGGTGACTGAAAAAGAAGCAGAAGAAGAGAGGGAAGAAGAAGAAGAAGAAGAAGAAGAAGAAGAAGAAGAAGAAGAAATCACAAAGAAAAAGAAGTAAAAGGAGAAGACGAAGAAGAAGAAAAAGAAGAAGACGAAGAAGAAGAAAAAGAAGACGAAGAGGAAGAAAAAGAAGACGAAGAAGAAGAAGACGAAGAAGAAGAGAGATGTGGGAGAAGGTGACTGAAAAAGAGGCAGAAGAAGAAGAGAATATTGTTGAGAATTCTCTTAAAGACGTTATTTTATAATGACGTAAGATTTTGAAAATAATTCTGTTAATGATGTAAAATTAATGTTTATATAAAATTTTGAACATTTTCAGTCATAATTGAATCAAGTTTGATCCAAAAGTTCTACATCAATGCAATGACGACTTTTCTCTTTGGTTTTTCCTATTAAATTATATTTTAACATTAATTTCCACGCATTCAATGCAATTGTCTCCATAAATTTCTAGCTCCTTTCATATACCGCTAAATTATTACCCTTCAGAAAAAAATACCTGTGCTTATCGTCAATCTACTGAAGAGTAACAATTTTTTTTAATTAATTAATGCATTTATATATCTGTGAAATATTTAAGTTCTAATTCTTGTTAATAAAATCGCATTACTTAAAATCATGGTTGCTTTAATTTTAGTAAAATTACAATTTGTATTTTGTAAGTGGGTATTTTTTAAATCATTTCACTCCAAGTAAGGCGATGATGCCACTAAGACGCTACAGGAGGTGAAAAAGATTGAAAAGACTTTAGAAAAAGCTGGAAAACACGCACTAAACAAGAAAAGAAAGCATGAGCCTCTACCTCTGTTTAAAACAGAGGAGAGGAGTGTGAACCGGGCGAAATTTATGAATAAAACATTTATTTTAATATTTAATGCTAAATAATAAATATTTCATTATAGTTAGTCTATATCTTTTCTAATATTGTAAATATAAAATTATTATTGTAAATAAGTAATCTAATAAATAAATAACTGTCTATATTTCTGAGATGAGGTATTATGTACACTATTTACATTATTCGGACTATTGTTCTCATGTTTGTAACCATTTTTATCACAACATTTCGGCCTTTCAGTATCTGTCTATATTTCTGAGATGAGGTATTATGTACACTATTTACATTATTCGGACTATTGTCCTCATCTTTGTCGCTATATTTATCACGTTTCGGCCTTTCAGTATCTGTCTATATTTCTGAGATGAGGTATTATGTACACTATTTACATTATTCGGACTATTGTCCTCATCTTTGTCGCTATATTTATCACGTTTCGGCCTTTCAGTATCTGTCTATATTTCTGAAATGAGGTATTATGTACACTATTTACATTATTCAGACTATTGTCCTCACCTTTGTTGCCATATTTGTCACAACGTTTCGGCCTTTCAGTATCTGTCTATATTTTTGAGACGAGGTATTATGTACACTATTTACATTATTCGGACTATTGTCCTCATCTTTGTTGCCATATTTTTCACAACATTTCGGCCTTTCAGTATCTGTCTATATTTCTGAGATGAGGTATTATGTACACTATTTACATTATTCGGACTATTGTCCTCAACATTCTCGCCATATTTATTTGGTAAAAAATGGTCGCTGAAGACATTAGGTTTATAATACCCAGAAATTCATACACAGATATCCTCAAGGCACAGTGGATAAAGGCGTTGGTTAGATCCGGTGACAGGACCCAATGAGTGTGAGTTCAATACACGGTTAAGGCAGTGGAGAAATTATTTAGGGGACTTATCAGGAGATAACTGATAACTGACATCCTTTGAAAAACGTGGAAGTAGAACAGTCTACCCCAGTGCGCAAAATAAATGGTTCAGTTTTACATTTCAACCCCCTGAAGAAGGCCGGAGCGTACGACGACCGAAACGTTGTAATAAATATGACGACAATGATGAGGATGATAGTCCGAATAATGTAAATAGTGCGATAAGTTTTATAGTTTTCCTTTTTCTTCTCATTAGCCCTAACATGATAAAAAGAAAATCAACTGTGTGGACTTTTTTTTCGTTCCGAAAAACAATGATTAAGCTCAACGGAGAAAGTGTGAGAAGACCATGAAGACTTCTGGAGGATCTACCGTGTCTCTGATCTTGCATTTGAAGAAAATTCATCAAATCGAGATAAATCAAGATGCAAATCAGCCTCCTGTGAAAATGGCAAGAACAATGGAAGACTTTTTAACAAAGAAATCTATGGAAAAAGAGATTTCAAAGTTAACCGCCATAGATGGATTTTCTTTCAATGTAATCACCAAAAGTAATTTTATGCAGACAATGCTCCATTTTTTTTTCTTTTTTAGTTTTTTTCTTTTTTAAATTGTTTTGTTTTGTTTCGGTAACTAACATTTTCATTCGTTTATTTCTTAGCATCGATTTGGTTATAATGTTGGGCATGTGGCCGAGAGGTTAGAACATTCGCATTCTGAGCATGAGACCCGGGTTCGAATCTCACCGTGGTCGGTTTGTTAGAAAGGATGTTATCGAACTGGAGGGGTCGATCCCAGTGTGAGTTACTTTTGGAAAGTGCCTGAAAACCATACAATTGACTCAAGCCTTCTGACTGATAGCTCTACTAGCACGAAGTTACAAGTTATCTTGAGCGTGCTTGCCTTGTTCAAATTGTTGAGCAAGCTAAATAACGCGCCCAAAAACTATAACTAAGGTCTGCTCAGCAGAGTTTCTGTATAAGCCACAGAATAAATACAAATGCACCTGAGCAAGCTTCTGCAACTGGGATTGGCTAGCTGCCCTAGGAGACATATAGAATGTGCGAGGGTGCAAATATGCAGTGTGCGAGGGTGTAAATATTAAATGCGGGGGTGGGGGGATAAATATGCAATGTGCAGGGGTGTAAATATGGAATTTGCAGTGGTGTAAATATGCAATATGCCTGGGTGTAAATATGGAATGTGCGGGGGTGTAAATATGCAATAACGGGGATGTAAATATGCAATAACGGGGGTGCAAATATGCAATGTACGACGGTGTAAATATGGAACGTGCAGGGGGGTAAATATGCAATGTGCGGGTGTAAATATTCAATGTGCAGTGGTGTAAATATGCAATATGTGGGGTGTTAATATGGAATGTGCGGGGGTGTAATTATGCAACAACGGGGATGTAAATATGCAAAAACGGGGGTGGAAATATGCAATATGCGGGGGTGTAAATATGGAATGTGCGGGGGTGTAAATATGTAATGTGCAAGGGGGGTAAATATTTAAAATCCGAATCACATTTTAAAGTTTTACACTCAGTTTTAAAAAACGGTGCATAAATGAAATAAATTTTTAAACTTCTAAGTTCTAAATGTTAGGACCGGTTTTATTAGCTTGAATGACGCGTGAAAGCCGGAAATTTTGAAAATAAATACATTTTTCCGAATTTGTTTCGCGATAATCTGAAAGTTCAGCGTCTAATCGATATCAATTCATGTTAACGGGCCAAAACCGGTTTTGAGAATGACTAACACTTACACAGGATTTTGAGAATTTTCGGATTTTGCGATCCGAAATATATATATTGTTATGAATAATCAAGAGTGATCTCCCCTTGTTTCGTTACTCTCCTCTTTAAGAGAGCTATTTCTGTTTACTGGGACTATAAAAGGTCACTATACGCGAACCTTATATTCTCAGTTGAATAGAGCCTTCTTAAATCTACATATTACGTACTTTTGTCATTACATACACACACAGAACACACACACACACACACATACACACACACATACACACACACACATATATATATATATATATATATATATATATATATATATATATGTGTGTGTGTGTGTGTGTGTGTGTGTATACTATACGTTTCATTAAATAATATAGACAAGTGTTGTCTATTTATTTTATGTAAAATTTTTTTGTATCTTCTGATAAGTTTGATAACATTATCATTAACCGAAAAAAGAAATTCACAATATTTATCCATTATTTAAGCTTTCGGCTTACTCAAGCCATTATCAAAGATGTAAATACAAACATATCAAACAATATACGGACACGACAGTGATGATAGTCTGTCATTGTTTAGTTTACATAGTGGATATATATATATTCAGTTTGTGACTGGAAGGGATAATTCCGAGGATTATATAAATCTAGGGAGAGCTCAATGTAGACTACAGAGCATTATAATGATAAGAAGACCGAGACTTTAATTGTCCTTTTCGATTATAATTTATATCGTGAACACCGAGGTGTTCAACTCTTCAGGCCGAAATCTCCTCCTCCTACATATTTTAGTATATATATTGTTTATACGTTGTTTTTACAGATACAAATATTTAAGTAAATGCTCTGTTTATAATATACTGTATTAAACAACATTTACTGGCCTGTAAAAATTTCTCGGACATTCAGGCCGGTAAATGTTATTTAATTATGTTTATTATAAACAGAGCATTTACTTAAATATTTGTATCTATAAAAAGAATGTATAGACATAAAAATGACTTTATATATATATATATATATATATATATATATAAAGACATTTTTATGTTTATACGTTGTTTTTATAGATACAAATATTTAAATAAATGCTCTGTTTATAATAAACAGTATTAAACAACATTTACCGACCTGAATGCCCGAGAAATTGTCATAGAAAATATGTGTCCTCCGACAGGAATCGAACCTGTATCCTCCACAGCACCGTACCATAACATTTAGCTATAGAGGAAGCGCCTGGTTAGCATGGTTAAATTACTGTTTTTAAACTACAAATTTTCCATGATTTCTCGCGAACGTTCATATCTGCTCGAAGCGTATCTTAACATAAAATAATGACATTATATATTATAAAATGGATTAAATCGGATTATTATAATTATTAATCTTCTTCTTTGCCTTGTTTTTCTTTGCCTTCTTCTTCTTTGCTTTCTTCTTCTTCCTTGCCTTCTACTTTTCCTTCTTCTTCTTCTTCGCCTTCTTCTTCTTTGCTTTCTTCTTCTTTGCCTTCTTCTTCTTTGCCATCTTCTTTGCCTTCTTCTTATTATTATTCTCCTTCTTATTCTTTGCCATTTTCTTTGCCTTCTTCTTCTTCGCCTTCTTCTTCTTCGCCTTTTTCTTCTTCCTTGCCTTCTTCTTCTTTGCCATCTTCTTTGCCTTCTTATTATTATTCTCCTTCTTATTCTTTGCCATTTTCTTTGCCTTCTTCTTCTTCGCCTTCTTCTTCTTCGCCTTTTTCTTCTTCCTTGCCTTCTTCTTCTTTGCCATCTTCTTTTGCCTTCTTATTATTATTATTCTCCTTCTTATTCTTTTGCCATTTTCTTTGCCTTCTTCTTCTTCGCCTTCTTCTTCTTCGCCTTTTTTTCTTCTTCCTGCCTTCTTCTTCTTTGCCATCTTCTTTGCCTTCTTATTATTATTCTCCTTCTTATTCTTTGCCATTTTCTTTGCCTTCTTCTTCTTCGCCTTCTTCTTCTTCGCCTTTTTCTTCTTCCTTGCCTTCTTCTTCTTTGCCATCTTCTTTGCCTTCTTATTATTATTATTCTCCTTCTTATTCTTTGCCATTTTTCTTTGCCTTCTTCTTCTTCGCCTTCTTCTTCTTCGCCTTTTCTTCTTCCCTTGCCTTCTTCTTCTTTGCCATCTTCTTTGCCTTCTTCTTATTATTATTCTCCTTCTTATTCTTTGCCATTTTCTTTGCCTTCTTCTTCTTCGCCTTCTTCTTCTTCGCCTTCTTCTTCTTCGCCTTTTTCTTCTTCCTTGCCTTCTTCTTCTTTGCCATCTTCTTTGCCTTCTTATTATTATTATTCTCCTTCTTATTCTTTGCCATTTTCTTTGCCTTCTTCTTCTTCGCCTTCTTCTTCTTCGCCTTTTTCTTCTTCCTTGCCTTCTTCTTCTTTGCCATCTTCTTTGCCTTCTTATTATTATTATTCTCCTTCTTATTCTTTGCCATTTTCTTTTGCCTTCTTCTTCTTCTTCTTCTTCTTCGCCTTTTTCTTCTTCCTTGCCTTCTTCTTCTTTGCCATCTTCTTTGCCTTCTTATTATTATTATTCTCCTTCTTATTCTTTTGCCATTTTCTTTGCCTTCTTCTTCTTCGCCTTCTTCTTCGCCTTTTTCTTCTTCCTTGCCTTCTTCTTCTTTGCCATCTTCTTTGCCTTCTTATTATTATTATTCTCCTTCTTATTCTTTGCCATTTTCTTTGCCTTTTTCTTCTTCTTTGCCTTATTCTTCTTCTTTGCCTTCCTCTTTGCTTTCTTGTTATTCCATCTTTATTTCTCTTTTTTCTTTCTTCTCTATCCTATTCTTTTTTTTAATTTTTCATCTTCCTTCATTTCCATTTTTCTTTTACTTCTTCTTCTGTTTTTTTTTTCTTCGTTTTACCTCCTTCTTATTATTCAGGAGTCCCTTCTCCCTTTTCTTTCCTCTCCGTTTTTTTTACTCTTCTTCTTTTTTTTCAATTTTCTTTTTTCCTTTTCATTCTTCTTCGTTTCTTATTATTATTACACTCTTTTCTTTCTTCCTTATTTTTCCTCCTCCTCTTATTCTTCTTCATTTACTTTCCAAGTAAGTTACACAAATCGATATATACCTGATGAAGCTCGGCGGACACAACGGCCGAAACGTTGTGACAAAAAAAAGAGGAGCACAATAGTCGAAATATAACTTCTATAAATAATTATAACTCCTCATCCCAGAAATCCAAACATAACCTTCCTTCTTTTCTTTTCTTCTTCTTATTATTATTATTATTATTATTATTATTATTATTTTATTATTATTATTATTATTATTATTAATACTTACTTCCTTTACTGCTTTGTAGTAAGATTTTTTGATGGAATTACAGTGACTACGGTGGATTCAGAATGGGGGTCTGCTATCTTGTATAAAGTTAGTCAAAGACGAAAAATGCCTGAACGTATCCTGAAGTTTGACTGATTCCAATCTAAGTGGAAAGAAGAAAAAGATCAGGATTAAATATTGAAACATCGGTTCACCATTTGACTTGACTCGGCCACTTAGACGAGCCCGGCTTAAAAACCATGATCAACGGAAGGGAAAACCCGAGATCAAATCATCTTGGCTCGAAGCTTTAAGAAGCAGTGGCTTTTAGCCCGCCACTATCGAGCAGATGGGTGAACGGAAAATCGGTT